GCCAGACTCGGCCTGTGGGCGATTTCCTCCGGACCCGAGCTCCCCGCCCGAAGAGGAAGATGCAGACCTTTCTGAAAGGGAAGAGAGTTGGCTACTGGCTGAGCGAGAAGAAAATCAAGAAGCTGAATTTCCAGGCCTTCGCCGAGCTGTGCAGGTAAGGAGGGACGTGGTTCCGGCGCCCGGGGACCCCCCGGCTTGAGCCCGATTTTGCCTTAGCGGCCGTTTGGGGGAGGTTGGAGCAAAACGGGAAGGAGCGGTGTTCAGGGACACTGAGTCCGAGTAGCCAGGTGGCTGTGGTGGCCCCCGGCTGTGTTAGAGGGAAGCAGTTGCCAGTATGTGCGGTGTGGCACGGACCAGGGCTCTCAGGTGCACTGGAACCCCAGGTGGGGAGACCCCTGGCTGCCCAGGGCGCAGTGGGAACGCTGCTAAAGGTGACAGAGGGACCTGGGAAATCGAGGGATCCAAGCTGTCCGCCTGTGGCTGGTGGTTACTTTTGGAGTGTTTGTCTTCCTTGGTCCCCTTCCCTTCGTGGAGAAGAGCACCAATGTTTGTACATTTGCGGACCACCTACTGTGTGGCCCCGCCTGTGCAGCTCTCTTTGCAAGAAGCTATCATTGCATGCCACTGGGTTAAGCCTCTTTGAAGCGAGTAGCAATACTTGGCATATATGTGATTTGCTGTCTCATTAGAGCCTCGCACCAGCCTTGAGAATTGGCTGGGTTGGTGATTCCGGGCCACGTGTCTGAGAAGGGGATCCATCCGCAGAGAGGTGGGGTACCTTGTCCGGGGTCACACAGCTAGGGAGTGGCTGGTGCAGAGGAGGTGCTGGGTAACTGCTTGTGGTGTAGCACGGCCTTCCTCCCTCTGCTCCCCGCCCCCCCCACCGTGCTGGTCCTCAGTGGTGGAGGCTCTCAGTGTTTTAATAAGATCACATTCTTAGTCCATTACAGATGCATCTGGTCTTGGGTCAGGTATGCCTCTCCTTGCTCCACCACAGTGGCTTTGCTTCTGAGAAGCTGTTAGTTAAATCCTGTTCTCAATGAAAGCCTGAGAGAATCAGGCTCCCCAAGCCTTTTGCAAACTCTAGATGGAAAACCTTTTGTTATACAGTGTCTCCACTTGGTAGATTTAATTTTCGAAAATGGGCCCCACTTGCGTGTTTGTCCCTTTTGGGTCACCAAACATAATGAAGAATTGAACAATTGGGTTTCCTTATCTCCATGCAGGGAGCAAGTGGCCAGTCTGAGCTGGCGTGCACCAGCCGGCCTGGCAGCACCTCTGTGGCCCTCATGCCTGTCCCCAGGGCTTGCTGCTCCTTTGGCTTATTTCAGCCCCACAGGCATTCTTCTCCCTACAGCCAGAGGGGCGGGCGCACCTTGTGTAAAACAGCTCCTGGTTCTGCATCCCTTCCTTGGTTTGGGGATGGAGTTGGCTGCCTTCTCTCAGGCTGGCTTCCCCGGAAGAAAGCAAGCTTTTCATGGTCAGTAGGGCATGCCAAGTGGCAAGGGAATTCACAAGGAAACCAGGAGGAACTTGCAGCCAGAGCTTTGAAAGTGGGACTGAGGACATTTAGAACGTTAGAAAAGGGCATGTGAATGTTGTACCACAGATACACACACTTGGGGAGAATGTGCCCTAGATGCTGAAGAAATGTGGAGAAGCCCCTTTGACATGTTCTTGAAATCTGGTGCTGGTGTTAGGTGCTCAAGGTACCCCTGCAGCCATCTAGGACTTGGGAAATCCCCACTGATACCTTGCACCCTTTTTCCTGAGGTCCGTCTGTATTTGTGTCATCTTGTGTCTGCAGCTAAAGCATGAGGCTTGTCATCTGGTTGGTATGTTTTGCTTGATAATTAGGAGGCTCTTGCAAAGCAGTTCTAGCCGAGACTCGTGGCTGAGTCCTCAGGCTGGACTCGCAGATTGTCTTTCCCTCTCTGTGGACCCTCCTACCTTTAAATAGAGGGGTTCAGGGCAAGTTATGACGTCAGCCATTCTGGGGGAAATCCAGCACAGCGTCGTGTCAATGACTCTGAAGGGGTTGTTGATTCAAAGTCTAGTTGCCTTCTGGCCAAAATACTGGCTTCAAAGAAAAGAATAAAAACATCTGGGTCACTCTAGAACCTCAGGAAGCCCATTTTTTGTTTTCAGTAGGAGAGCTTTAGATATTTTGTCACTTAAGCTTAAGAAGGAAAACACCAAGAATTTTTTTCTTGTCTCCTTCATTGTTTCCAGGGCAGCGCCCCCTGGTGGCGGCATTTCTGTACTGGGTGCAAAATAACTCCCATCCTTGAGAGGGCGGCCAGACCCTTCTGCTCTTGTGTTTGGTGTGAGTGCTGATGCGATTCCAGTGGGTGAGAGGGGATGCAGATGGACATTGTCGTGTTTTTGATTTTCACAATCTGGGGGTGCCACTGCTCCCATTTGGATGGATGATGAATTGTCTGTGATTTCCATAATGAAAAAGTCCAGAGATGTTGAAAATGGCTCGAGGCTCTGCTCTGAATGTTTGGGGCAGTGTCAGCGGCAGAGAGGATGACCTGAATGGACCGGGATGAGCTGTTTAGTTGAATGTCAGTCAGGCCTTGTAAAAGTCTTAGAGCAGGAAGGGATGTGGGAGATCGAGATGATCTAGCCTCTTCATTTTACAGATGCAGAAACAGGCATGGGGGGGCAGCCTCCATACTTGTGTTGCTTGTGTTCAGCTTCTGAAATGAGTCCAACCTGGGCACCTTGAGACCCACCTGGAAAGCAAGCCCTTTCTCCCAGGACACTTTCGATAGTTAGGTGGACCCCCTTGTCATCCTCACTGGGGTCCAGCTGCTGCCATTTTGCCTGTGAGACAATTAACTTGCCCTCCGCAAGTGTGATGTCTGTTCTCCAAGGAGCATCGTGTGCCGTGGGCACCAGTGAGCCGTCGGAGCAGGTCCTGCTGGGGTACCTTAGCAGGCTTGAGGGCCAGGCCTTCAAACCCCAAAGCCCCTTGATGGGACAGGCCCTCTGGCTCAACAACACATAGGCCTTGACTCAGCTTGTGTTTTCCTGGTACTGTCTGTTCCTGTCACTCTCCTCTGTTAGTTGGAAATGTTGGGTGATTTTTTAATTTTTATTTTTTAGTTCTGCACAGTGCCCCCTGTGGAAATGCTGGCTGACCCTGGTTCCCTTTGTCCATGTTTTCTGTGTCCATCCTCCACGTCCTCGCCTCCCAACTCTCTTTCCTGCGGCTGAACCTGTGTGGCAGGAGGTGGTGAGAAGGCACACGACGTCCAGGAGCATTTGGGTGTAACACGTGGGTGAACCCTGTTTGCCTTTACTGTCATGTTAGCTGGTTTTTTAATGCTGGCTTACTGGGTACCTCATCTTACATCATCCTCCCAGCAGCCCAGGGATGGCAGGACGGGGAAACTGAGGCTCAGGGAGTTTGAGGGACTTGCTCTCAGAGTTGGGGGCTTCCCTGAGCCCAGCCTGAGGCCTCTACACCTGAGGATGCGGCTGTCTTGTTTATTAATAAGTCCTTTGCTTAGGTTAGACTGGGGCTCTTGGAGGCTGCAGGAATAGAAGTCAGCCAGTGGGCCCACCTAAGCCTGCAGAAGATGGGCTTACAGGGCAAACTCAGGCCATGTTATCATTGCAGACTTTCCCACCAGGGACCCTCTGTGCGGTTCCTCCAGAAGGAACTAGGCCTCCAGTCCACTAAGGCTCCTGTTGACCGAATGCCTTCTGGAGCCTGGGCCTGTTCAGGGGTGGGTTGGTGTCCAGCAGGGAGGAGCCAGGGCCCTCAGAGAGCTGAGAATTTGGTGTTAACAGTAACCTGGCCTGTAGGATGCCCCCAGGCCGCCTCTTCCCCTCCGGGCCCCTTAGGGCCTACATACCTTTCTTTAAAGGAGGAATCTGGAGAGTCCATTTTTGCTGGGATGGTTTAGCATAATTCTGTGCTGGGATTCTTTTGGGAGATTCTAGATGGGGAGGAAGGAGGATCTTTCCCAGGGTGAGGGGATGCTGGTCTGTGGGTGGGTATTTTTCAGTTTGTTTTGATGTCTGGGTCTGGCGCCATTGTGGGGGTGTGTGTGGGGGGGAAACACTGAGTTAGGGTTCCCTTGCAGCTGTGCATGGAGGCTCTCCACAGCCAGCCTTGCAAACAGACGCTTTCCACCAGCCTCCGAGGGAGTAAACTGGGCTTCCCTCCAGAGAAGACGTCCATCTGGGCACTACTGTGCGTTGATGAGCATGCCTGGGTCCCAGGCCTGGCTCCACAGCAGGCTACCCGTGTGGCCCTGGGCACATGCCTCCTTGTCCTCATCTGTAAAGCGAGGATAATGACAGTATTAGCTCAGGGTTTATGCACATTAAAGACGTCAGTGCACAGAACACATGCCTGGAACTCTCTAAATGGTGGTTACTGCTGTTACATTTTGGTTGCTGTCCTTGGGGAGTGGTTGAGTGGGCTTCTGCTCACGGATGCCTGGGTGTGGGATGTGTGCAGCTGGTAGGCACGGCTGAGGAGGGGTCTCCCCTGCCTGGCACTCTCCCAGCATCTCCCTTAACACCCGGCCTATGGGGGATCTTACAGCCCCCAGGGAGGCAGGGCTGCTGTCTTCACCTGCTTTACGGATGGGGAGCCCGAGAAGATATGTTAATGCAAGGTGATACTTTCTTTTCTTTCTTTCTTTTTTTTTTTTGAGTTTGGAGATTCAAGAAGAGTTTATGCTGGGTTTCCAGAAAATGCCAAGAGTCTCCATGAGCAATCATGATACTATTATTAGCTAACATTTATTGTTTTCTCTGTCTTTTAGAATATTAAATACATGCATATGTTAAAGTAAAACCCAGAGGACTCAAAGTACACAATGAAAAGGACTCAAAGTACACAATGAAAAGTCAGTCCATTTCCTCCTTATTCTCAAGTTCTGGTTACTCGGGGACACGTGCTGTTGGCAGTCTCTCTCTTGAGATGTTTTGTGCAAAACACAGGGCACACGCGTGTGCTGGTGTCTTCCATAGATACCGTTCTGCCCTCGGCTCCTTTCATGAACACCGTATCGTAGGGAAATTGCGCATCCCTGCTTCATTTGGAGACAGTTCTGTATTAGTTGTTAGGTTTCTTCAACAGCTGTGGGGCCCAGGTCTTAAAAGCGATGGACTGTGTTTCTTGCCCTG